AAGGGACACGAGAGTTAGTTCATTCAAGGACGTTCAACCCCAGAGCGGCCACCCCCGGTCTTGTCGGATCTTCTTGCGTACTGGCAGAACTAACGACAAAACATGAAAAGTTCCCGCTAGAATACCGCAACAAGTTACTACAAAAAGACTTAAATGTATTATTTGTAGCAGGAACTTCCTTCTTACGTCCAGACATGTGCTTTTCATGACATTTTAACTCTGCTGTTACGTACTTTTTTGCCCAGAACTTTTTTTGATTCTGAAAAAAATAAACGTACCGTCTAAAATAAGAACGTACCGGGCGGATTTCAAGGCGAAAAAAAATAAACGTACCGGTACGTTTATAAGAGAGGTGAGAGTACATGCCTCCAACACAGTTGTTGCCTTTGCTAAGCTAGTGTTTGTTCTTTGGTATATAAAGTTTCATAGTGGAGATTCTTATGTTACTCACAGTGCATGTACTAGATGCATTATGCATGTAATACATACATTCACTAGAGAAGTAACATTTGCAAAGCAAATACATAATGTTTACCTTCGGACATGGTCTGCCCTGTTAATTTTTACTCAAACACATTCACATAGTATTACATGTACTACAAGTACTAAGTATATGGTGACAGGAGAAGAGCAGACCATGAAATTGCAACATTATGTAACCCAACACCAGTCACTTTGGTGACACATGTCAACAAATCATGTCATTGGTCAGGTCAGAGGTTAGTGTTTGGAACAGAAGAGGAGGAGGAAGAAACTGAGTAAAAAAAATATGTTTTCCTTCGATAAACATAATCACTGTATACTACATGTAGATATCAGACCTGTAGGCTCTTGTCATACTCCTGCTGTATGAGTAGGTGTTTGTCAGTCTGGGGAGGTGTGACCTCTGACCTGGTCCCAGCATCCAGCACAGGCAGCAGGTGGTGGGAGGGGGGCGTGTACTCTTCCCCACTTGCTGAATGGGATGCAATGTAACATGAAATACAGACATCAGGTGATTTGCTCATGAATAAAATAATCATAATCATACTAGGTTGTTAAAGTAACTTTGTC